TCCATCTGTAAACACCCGAGAAATGCTTGATTTTGATGATTTTAGCACAAAAATGGCCGCCATTCGGCCATCTTGAATCAGAACGTGAAACAAATTGACGTGCATATGTATAATATCATATATGATGTATGTGTGAAGTTTGATTGTGATTGTCCAGGCATTTCTAAGATACAGGTCCGGATGCACGCATAGACGCACGCACGCACGGACGTCAAAACATAAGTCCCCGTTTTCGGACTGCGTCCGAACGGGGACTAATAAAGAGATCACAAACAATTGCTACCCGGTATGTTTAATCTTAATCTCTTATGCAGTGATGAACATTGCTTGATAACAATCAATAATTTTTATTCGTTTTAGACTCAACAACTGGTCACCCATCATTGCACCTGTCTGTTACCTAATATACAAACAGTATCTCACTTTTGTTTACTAGACACAGAAATTAATACAATTCAAGTACATACTGACTTTGTGGCAATATGTTTTATGACAAGAATATCACAGTCTGACATAAAATGGAAACATTCAGATAATACAATAGTAACTTGTTTCAGCTTTAATCTTATTGATGAGAAAACGGAATGGGGATCAGCTGTTTGGTTTTTCTATCCCCACTCGCATTCAGTGAACCAAATAGACAGTATGCATTTCATCAATGAATGCTAATAAGTATGGGTTTCCTCCCAACTCAGCAATTTGAACTCGCAACCTGAAATAGAAAATAGAGATTACATCAACATCAGTGAAAATAATAATTGACTTTGGTATTTGAACGTGTGATGGTACTATTTTGAAGTTAATTTTTAAGTTTGACAGGCATGACTGAGAAAAAAGACCATCATGACTGTTTGTATCAGCATTGTACAAAATCAGTACAGGCATCTCAGAAATCACTTGTTGGGTACCACAGGAAAGTATTCTGGGATTCCTGATGTTTATCATGCACTTCATTTATAAAATATTTTGAATACTACACACAAGCTAAATCATTAGATAATATTGAAGATAATATAAATGACAAAATGTGAATGTCACAGTCCCCGTCATTTAATTATAAAATAATACATGGAACATCTGCAAACAGTTGAATTAGTATGTATTCTATGTGGGTACAACTCATCATAAAGTGGTTTCCCTTAATCTAGTATTGTACTGATAACTGACAAATTCCATTGACCCATGTCCAAAATCTCAGATTACACAAGTGCAACCAAACTATGTCTCATGCATGTATACATGCTCAAGAAACTGCATTCATAAATCTGAGTAAACCTTGATGTACCTTTGTTAATTCAGGTCTACAGTTTTCACTGAGATTTGTAATGGTACATGTACCACCCATTTATCCACTAGCCCTTACAACAATGTGTCAATGTGCCTGGCCAAGATTTATAAACAGTAACTTGCAAAGTGTTTTCACTGATCTTCAACTTTGTGACCCAGTATTTCAGTGATGGCTCTTTATATTGGAATGCAATTTTTACAGTTTAAAGATATAATATACAACAACATTTCTGACCACTTTTTAGCTCCACTGTCATCACAGATGACCCAGCGGAGCTGTTGGTATAGGGGTCTCTCCAGCATCCCGCATGAAGTTTTCCTTTAAACAACTTCTTCTTCAAAAGTACTTGACCAATTACATTCATATTTGTACCAAAGGTACTTGGGGTGGTCCTCTGTCAGATTTGTTAAATTTGTGTCAAAATATGGAATTTTGGATTTTTAGTGAATATGTTTGTCATTTTGGGAAAAATGTTATTTTCGACAACTAGTCCAAAACCGTAAATCCAAATGCTTTCATATTTCCGGCAATGATACGTGGGGTGGTCCTCTGTCAGATTTGTTAAATTTGTGTCAAAATAGGCAAATTTGGATTTTTAGTGAATATTTTTGTCAATTTTGGTAAAAAATGTTATTTTCGACAACTAGTCCAAAACCGTAGGTCCAATTGTTTTCATGTTTGCAGCAAGGATACGTGGGATGGTCCTGATTTGTTAAATTCGTTTCAAAATATGCAAATTTGGATTTTTAGTGAATATTTTTGTCATTTTCGGTAAAAAATGTTATTTTCAACAACTAGTTTGAAACCGTGAATCCTAATGTTTTCATATTTCCAGCAATGATACGTGGGGTGGTCCTCTGTCAGATTTGTTAAATTTGTGTCAAAATATGCAAATTTGGATTTTTAGTGAACATTTTTCTCATTTCAAGTTTAGCCTCAATAATGTTTGTCCAATGAAATGCACTATCCTTATGAACACTACAAAAGTTCATAATTGCAACTGCAAGCAACTGTAACTCAAGTGCAATGTTCTCTGAATGACTGACTATGAATATTACAACCACAATGCCACTTTACTGATTCTTGTTCCATGATAATGAAGACAGTGGAGCTATTTCGACCGTCGCTTGTTTCAGGATTTCAGCATTAATTTTTCATAAAACCAAACAAAAACCAGACAGTAGTCCATTTCTGTCACTGATTCAGATCAAGGTCATGACATCACTGAAAACCCTAGCATTACAATCTAAGCTAATTATTTATTCTGAGCATGTTCAGTTGTTCTCTCAGTGTTGTAGGGAGAGGTAATTTTGGGTGAAAATCATGAAAAAGACCCACTTAGGATTTTCAGATCTGGTAAAAAAATTACGTGCATATTCAACAGAGACTTGTTCATCAACCTGCCAAGTTTCATCGATATCTGCTGGAGAGTTTCTGAGAAAATGTTAGAGATGTCACGGATGGAAACCGGAAATAAGAAACTATCCTCCCTTTTTCAGGCTGCGTCTGAAACAAGGACTCATTAATGTATTTTCTTGGTTAGATTATTTTTTACACTTCGTGCCCAATAATTACTGTAATACATGTTGTATGTACTTGTATATTATTTCAATACTGTAATACATGTTGTATGTACTTGTATATTATTTCAATACTGTAATACATGTTGTATGTACTTGTATATTATTTCAATACTGGATTTATACTGAAGAAACCAAGCTGTTCAACCACCACAATTCACTATATACTTACTTCTCTTCCAGATCCAAAAGTACAGACTTAGTATAATCAAACGAGCCAACCTGTAAAAATAAATTATATTATCAAGACATATGATGGTTCATTAGGCCACACTGATTTAATTTTATGGATGACATCCAAAACTAATGCGAGAGGGCGAAAAAAAAAAAAAATCGGCAAAAAAAAAAAATGCTGCTAAAACCACAGGATTACGGAGCTATTATTACGAATTTAACCAGTGTATCAAAAAAAACAACAAGTCTTTATTTGTAGGAGGCACATGTTGATGTACACATTTCGTACTGTATTACTGTCACAGGTATCATCACCTTTGACTTTGAAAAGGCAAGAGGATAAGGCAGATGTTAGCATTGCCAAAAGCATACACATCAACTCAATAATAAAGAAAAACTTACTGTGTTGTCTTGAAAAAAACATTAATTAAAAATGAACAATAAGTTTGTCAACAGCAACCTGGAAATTCACTTCTTTGACATTCAAACTACAGCTTTTAAAGTGACACTTCAGATAGACTAAGTGTAGACACAAATGCTCTAGAACTACTTCAACTATGTAACAATATATAAGAGGCTCGATATTGAAAAGAAAACACCAATGTCACCCCGTAAGGGGACTTCGGCCAAGGAGCTTCTGCTGCTTTTGTTGCAGTTTTGTCGACTTCAATGCGGACAAAGCAACCGAACTGATTTGTCGCCTGACCGACTTTTAGGCCACCATACACCTCCACTCCTCTCCCATTTCTCTCATCATTGCAGAAGAAACGCGGGACAGCCACTCTGAATAATATGTTCTCAAAGTTGTCTGGGCGAAACTCGCTTGCCGCCACCGACCTCTCGTACAGCTGTGTAAATGTCTCCCTGGCCAAAGTCAATTGCGTACCAGTCTACAACAATCCCTCCGTTTCACCTCTGAACTTTTATGCTCGCGTATTTTGGTGGTGTGGTCGCCATGTTGGATCATTTATGGCAAAATTTGCATGTTTTGAGGCAATCTCTTTCCCATAGGTCTTTGTGCTTTACGTAACGCGCATCTAACTGTGCGGAGTTTGGTTTTGAGGTAGTGTAAAACGAGTTTTACGACAAGTCGGCGCTTTGCAACAATATGAGTCGGCAAGTTACGGACAGAAAACCGATCTGTGGAGACTCGTCGTCGGAGATTTTTTTTTTTTTTTTTTGAGAACATGCGAAAACTAATGCGCGCGCGGATGTCATCCATAAAATTAAATCGGTGTAGCCTTAGGTCAAATTTGGGGAAAAGAGATGAATATAATCACATAGTATCTCTTAGTACTAAAGTGTGGTATGTGAGAAGGCATGTGATTGGCAGAATGTTTGTTTTGTTTTCACCCACTCTACTTCAATCAATGAGAGCATAGCTCAATCATGCTACAAGATGCCTGTCAATCAATACATGAAGAAATTCATGGGTCAGTTGCCAAGCTGCTGCCAATAATGCATGTCTCTTGATGCGAAAGAAGAATTCATGAGATGTTGTGAAACCTAGACATTTTATCCAGGATTACATATTTCTAAAATGGAAGCTGAAATCGTCATGGTTACCTTATCTAAGAACTCTATACAGTACTTCTTTATGTCGTTATCTGTTGTGCGTTGTTTCAATATACTCATGACTTGTGTATTTTCTGGCTGTGTTTTGATTGCATGGATAAGAGGGAATGAGAATTTGCCTTCTGTTAAATCTTCAGCATAACTTTTATTCTCTTTGTACTCTGGGGATTTCAAATTTGCATAATCATCTCGGATTTGGAAATATAGACCAAGATTTTCCCATAATGGCTTGAAATCACTGTCAATAAATAAATAAATAAATAAATAAATAAATAAATAAATAAACATCATAATCAATATTTGTTCCCAAAGCCACCATGTCACTTTTTTTGGAGATACAGTTGTAAAATTATAATAGTTATTTAGTAAATGTGTGAACGGAGTTAATTAAAAGGCCTACCATTTATTCTCACTGAATATCTGCATTAACCTAATTCCTAGTCCAAATAACCCACCAGTTTCTAGAATTAAAACGAAGTGAACTGTAAATATTCTTGTAATGTTAGGCATGAATTATGCAGGGTTGCATGTGATTTACCAGTGAGACACATGATTTACCAGTGAGACACATGATTTACCAGTGAGACACGTGATTTACCAGTGAGACACGTGATTTACCAGTGAGACACATGATTTACCAGTGAGACACATGATTTACACGTGAGACACATGATTTACCAGTGAGACGCATGATTTACCAGTGAGATGCATGATCTACCAGTGAGACGCGTGATTTACCAGTGAGACACGTGATTTACCAGTGAGACACGTGATTTACCAGTGAGACATTATTCATGCTACAGTGATATGCGTGATCTACCAGTGAGACACGTGATTTACCAGTGAGACATTATTCATGCTACAGTGATACGCGTGATCTACCAGTGAAACACATGATTTACCAGTGAGACACGTGAATTACCAGTGAGACATTATTCATGCTACAGTGATACGCGTGATCTACCAGTGAAACACGTGATTTACCAGACACGTGAATTACCAGTGAGACACGTGAATTACCAGTGAGACACGTGAATTACCAGTGAGACGCGTGATTTACCAGTGAGACACATGATTTACCAGTGAGATTTGTGATTTACCAGTGAGACACATGATTTACCAGTGAGACGCATGATTTACCAGTGAGATGCATGATCTACCAGTGAGACGTGTGATTTACCAGTGAGACACATGATTTACCAGTGAGACGCATGATTTACCAGTGAGATGCATGATCTACCAGTGAGACGTGTGATTTACTAGTGAGACACGCAATTTACGAGTGAGACACGCAATTTACCAGTGAGACACGTGATTTACCAGTGAGACACGTGATTTACCAGTGAGACACGTGATTTACCAGTGAGACACATGATTTACCAGTGAGACACATGATTTACCAGTGAGACACATGATTTACCAGTGAGACACGTGATTTACCAGTGAGACACGTGATTTACCAGTGAGACACATGATTTACCAGTGAAATTTGTGATTTACCAGTGAGACGCATGATCTACCAGTGAGACACATGATTTACTAGTGAGACACATGATTTACCAGTGAGACACATGATTTAACAGAGACACATGATTTAACAGAGACACATGATTTACCAGTGAGACACGTGATTTACCAGTGAGGCACGTGATTTACCAGAGAGACACATGATTTACAAGAGAGACACATGATTTACCAGTGAGACACATGATTTACCAGTGAGACACATGATTTACCAGTGAGACACATGATTTACCAGTGAGACACATGATTTACCAGTGAGACACATGATTTACCAGTGAGACATATGATTTAACAGTGAGACATATGATTTAACAGTGAGACGCGTGATTTAACAGTGAGACGCGTGATTTAACAGTGAGACGCGTGATTTACCAGAGAGACACGTGATTTACCAAAGAGACACATGATTTACCAGAGAGACACATGATTTACCAGTGAGACACATGATTTACCAGTGAGACACATGATTTACCAGTGAGACACATGAATTACCAGAGAGACACATGAATTACCAGAGAGACACATGATTTACCAGTGAGAGAAAGCCACAAAGGTTTTTTCTAGGCAAGCATAAAACAGCATGAATAACGAAAATTACAGTAATTACAATTTCTGTTTTTTGTAACTATTATCTGTAA